ATGAAACAATTAAATATAATTAGAAAACATATTTTTGTTTCATACTTACATGCATATATATGATTTTATTAATATTAATTTTATTCAGTTCAATAAAATCATGTTTTAGTGCATTATATGTGTATTTTGATAAAATACTATATTCATTATTTATAGACTTTATAACAATAGTTTACATCTTTCTTCAAGTCTATAAAATTATTTTGTATTGTTTCAAAATATGGTTAAGCTAAAATGTCAAAACTCATATGTTCATATTTTCACGTTTTGGACTATTTTACAAAATGATGATATTTTTTATTTGGGAGGTCCTTTCTAAAAACCAGTTTTTGTAGCATGTGTATTATCATGTCTATAATTATTTTCCAAAGTTTTATATTTTTTAGAATTTATTTGATATTTTTAAATAGGATTTTAAATCAGAAAAATTGTTTTCAAACTATCACTTTCATATATCAGTTTGCGGTCGACCGCGCCTATGGTTTTCCCTATGGAGCCAGTAGAGACTTTCGCGGCCGACCGTGACGGTCGACCATCAAGCTAAAAATTCCCACGATCGACCGTCACTGTCGACCGCAGATGTTTCTAAAAGCGGTCTACCGCGAGAATTTCACGGTCGACCGTCGTATGCCCAACGGCTCTTTTTGTACAGAATCTATAAAATCTTTTTCTGGGTTTTTAGGGGATTTGGTTGAGGGTTTTGCTATTGGTTTCTCTTCCTATATAAACCCCTCAAACCCCAACTACCAAAATTATAAAAGAAGTTTTTAAACAAGAGTTTAACAAAGGTTTAAGTTTGTTTAGTGTTTGTTTAAAAGAGTTTTGTTTGTGAAGAAGTTTTACACAAGTGGAGGAGATCATCTACATTCCTTGGGCTTCATTTTAATCCATCTCTCCATCTTGTTTTTTAGAGAAGAATTTTTAAACTAAATACTAGCTTTGTATTAATTCTTTGTTGTTTATCATTTTTATTAAGCTAGTATTTTCAATTGAGTTTAGTTGATTTGATTTCACTCATTGTTTACACACACCCACTTG